CCTAAATAAAGTAAGTAGATGTCTGACATCGCACAAAAATTCTATTCAGGATCTTTATAGATCTAATATCACACAATTACCTATAATATCACTATATTAGCATAATTAATAGATAGATGCTTAATCACTTTGGATCCTAAAATCAACTTGTATGTATAATTAGAATTTATACCAAACGTACTATAATTTGGAATTTAAATAATCACCTTAAAATTTTTAATTTAAATTGATACAAGTAAAAACAATTGAAACAACATATATAGTTGGTTTGAATTGAAAATTTAAAAGACTGTGTTTGGGATTGACTTGTTCAATTTAAATTGATTTTTTTATTCAATTGCTCGTTTTTATTTGATTTTATATTAATTTAAATTTGAGAAAAGATTTACTAACGACCAACCCTATAATTTTAATTAGACAGTTTAAATTACATCATGTATAGTAAAGTTCAATGAAGTTCAATTTTATTTGTCTTCTCAAAAGTCAAAAATTCAAACTTCAATCAAACCAAACAACCAGTTAATACAGTGCATCTAGTTAAAATAATTGATGGATTTTGTATGATTTCAGTTTGTATTATTGCGTGCATCAAGACAATTAATCGATTTGGTGTTGATTCCAATTTGTAGTAATGCATAACATTTTTGTTTTGTTAGGTTTGGAGTTCTAAGAAAAAAACTGAAGCACATATACGCCAAATTGTAGCATGTAAGATACCTTTTAACCCCTGGTCAAAGTTTAAAGATTGATTTTAAATATATAGTTTGTAGAAATAAATTTTTCAAATTTCAAGTTATGTTTTACCAATAAATCGAGCAATCGAACACAAGAAAATCAATTTAAACTGCAAAAAAAATCAGATCAAATCATAATTTTTAAGTTATCATAAACTCATATGTAAGTTTGATTTAAATTTTATTAAAACAATAAAATTTTAATATAATTGATGGAATTTTAAATTGTGATTTTTTTAATTAGATTTGAATCATACTCATATTTTTCAGAAACTGAAATGATCAACTTTTTTTATATATAATTCTTTAAGGTGATGTTGTTGATAAGGGTAAAAAATAAATTTCTATTAACAATGATTTATCAACAAGCATGTATTATAAACTCTACAAAGATTCCTTGAAATATTTTTCTTCCTAGATAGTAGTGGAGACCCTTTCCAATTTTGAAAAAATATATATCCCAAAGGCATGTCGCATGTTTGCTACATTTGTTATATGTGATAAACTTACAAGCCGCATCTTAGGTATGGAGTTCCTAAATTTATGCTAAGATCAGGAAGACCACACACAACAGTAGATGACAAGAATTAGGTAATGCGTCAGGAAGAAAAATCTTTCAAGGAATCTTTGTAGAGTTTATAATACACGCTTGCTGATAAATCATTGTTAATAGGAATTTACTTTGCACCCTTATCAACAACATCACCTTAAAAAATTATATATAAAAAAAGTTGATCATTTCAGTTTCTGAAAAATATGAGTATGATTTAAATCTAATTAAAAAAATCACATTTTAAAATTCCATCAATTATCTTGAAATTTTATTATTTTAATAAAAATTTAAATCAAATTTACACATGAGTTTCTGATAACTTAAAAATTATGATTTGAACTGATTTTTTTTGCAGTTTAAATTGATTTTCTTGTGTTCGATGGCTCGATTTATTGGTAAAACATAACTTGAAATTTATAAAATTTATTTCTACAAACTAAACATTTAAAATCAATCTTTAAACTTTGACTAGGGGTTAAAAGACTTCTTGTATGCTACAATTTGGCGTGGATATGCTTCAATTTTTTTGCTCAGAACTTCAAACCTAACAAAACAAAAACAAAAAGGTTATGCAATACTACAAATTGGAATCAACACCAAACCGATCAATTATCTTAATGTACGCAATACTACAAACTGAAATCATACAAAATCCATCAATTATTTTAATTAGATGCACTGCATTAATTGGTTGTTTGGTTTGATTGAAATTTGGTTTTTTGACTTTTGAGAAGACAAATAAAACTGAACTTTGTTGAACTTTACTATACATGATGTAATTTAAACTGTCTAATTAAAATTATAGGGTTGGTCATTAGTAAATATTTTCTCAAATTTAAATTAATATAAAACCAAATAGAAACGAGCAATTGAACAAAAAAAATCAATTTAAATTAAATAAGTCAATCCCAAACCCAGTCTTTTAAATTTGCCATTCAAACCAACTATATTAATTGTTTCAATTGTTTTTACTTGTATCAATTTAAATTAAAATTTTCAAGGTGATTATTTAAATTCCAAATTATAGTAAGTTTGGTATAAATGCTAATCATGCATACAAGTTGATTTTAGGATCCAAAGTGATTAAGCATCTATCTATAATCCATTTAAGCATGGAAAATTCTTGAGTAAGGATATTCGAATCAAAATTTGATCGTAATTGGTCTCAAAGCTATTCTTACTTTAAGTTGAATGCACTACATATGTAATCAATCAAAACTGAGTGAACACATCTTAAAATAAATATAATAATTTTGACTTCCATCTTAACTAAAGCTTTATTTGAATATCCTGGACAAAATTTTGATCAAGATATCCTGACCCTTTTTTTTCATTTAAGAAAAAAGATTGACATTCTAAGACCCCAGCTTTTAGTAAACATAAAAAAAAATTGATGCCTAATAGGTGTTCATTGGTGGAGCCCAACTGTTAACCATAAAAGGTGGAGCCCAACTGTTAACCATAAAATTCAAAATAAGTGGTGATTATATACATTTCTATAAAGGGAAAAAGCTCAAGATAGCTCCAAACTATTTGCATGCAACCAAATTAGTCCAACAACATTGCATTTATGCAAAGTAGTCCCTCGACTGTACAAAATTGATGCCACATATTCCCTTAGAAATTAAATTTAGATCAATTTTTTATAATCGATGGACTAAATTTGGATCAATTTTGTACCCCAATTTCCACCAATTTCTAGATAAGGGATCATTTAAAATCAATTTTACATGGTCGACTAAATTAGAGGAATGTGATACCCAGAGACTAAATTGGCCGCATATAAATAATCAGGAGACAATTTTAGTCTTTCATATATATATATATATATATATATATATATATCTTTGATATGTTATTAATTCTATTATTATGGATTTATTTCAATTTTAAATTTCTACTTATTTAACTCTAATAAATATAAGACTTGAGTCATTTTTATGGAGAAAATGACCAATGGTCTATTTACTACTTAAAGACTAAAATGGGCTCTGACTATATTAAAGAATCATTTTTGATCCCTCAAGTCCTTAAAGAGTAAACTTTGGTTCCATTTTAAAGACTTGAGGGATCAAAATGGTCCTTTAATATAGTCAGGGATCATTTTGGTCCTTCATAAAAAGTTAATGGATCATTCTGGTCTTTTTTTCCATTTTTTATGTGAGCTTGAGCCTGGAGTTAGTGCTTAATGGGAGGAGAATATATTGGGTTGCTTATAGTTTAAAATAAAAAGGAAACAAATAAAAAAAAATTAAGGTTAAAAAAGAGAGAGAGCTACAGCTTCACCGACACTTGCATGCAGCAGACTATTACTTAAACTCTCAATATCAATATGCAGAGAATAAGTCTACAAATCAAAAGAAAAAATTAAGATTGTATCATTGCATGGATCGACTCATAGTTGATACAACTGAAAAATCAAATACTGACATGCAATTGGTACCTTTTCGGAATAAATAAGATTTTTTTTATTACAATAGGCAAAAGATGCTATTTTCAAACTATCTCCGTGTAATTTTCTTTATTTTTTTACTCATTTATTTAAAAATCGTTCTTTGAGTACTGTCTATATTCATTTATGTAAATCTTAGTTGAGTGGTGGATTCAATTTGATGATGATACTCTATAATTGTAGTGTTTCACTATGAAAACTTTGGGATTAGCATGCTTTTCATCTGGAGGTAAATAGAATTGGAGCACCTACAACCAAGTACATACAAGGTGGAGAAATCATTCGTCAGCATTGAGGATGAATTCGTTAGGATATATTATGTACCATAAGAGACTCAAAGACAAGAATTTGAAGAAAAAATGGTTAAAGGATGAGGAAGATCCTTTGATTTGTGAGGATATGACATATGATGATGAGTGGATTGTAAATGATGAAGTGGAGGTGACTCCGTTTGAATTACGATAGGAAGATTTAAATGTTGTTTTCTTTGATAGTCATAGAGCATATGTATCCACCACAACTCAAGAACAAACCAAAAAAGATATATAAATAACATAATTTTCTTAGACTACTTTTCTTAATGTATTACTCATCTTCATATTTTTCAAAAATATTTAGGGACGAGGAAGATAACTGATATAGAGTAATAAGCGAATTGGGAGACATTGGACTCCATGGGATATGAGGCAAGGGAGAGAGCAGTTCATCATAACGATGATTCAAATGAAGACCCCCTTATTGATGATAGCGCTGATGACTTCTGAGTTGTTATGTCATTACTATTTATTTTTTAAATTACATGTTAATAAACAGGATATTGGGATTTGGGAAAGATAGAATTTTGAGTTAAACTATATTTTATGTTGTCTTATTATTGTGATGTTTGGGTTTCACTTTAATATCAAACAATTTATTACTTGACACTTCATATCTTGTGCTTTTTTATATTTTATATATATGACAATTTATTTCTTATGTCAACTTCTAATATATTATTAGATTAGTATAAAAAAATTATCATTTAGACATTATGCAATTTTCTTATTTTGAGGTTTACGCCTCGCCTCACAAATGAAAAACGCCTACAAAATTTTAAACATTGAAATAAACTATGTATTATGTCATCAATGATTATCAGAATTATAGAAAATGAAGTAGTCCTGTAAAAAATTAAATTTACAGAATACATTGGAAAATATAAAAAAGAAATAGTAAGCAATATTAAACTATTCAGTTGGAGACAAGTATAAAACTAGACTACCTGTAGCAGAGTAAGCTGTGCTGAGAGAGTAGTTGCCTCTGTCTGAAGCGTTTGCACCTTCCGCTCAAGTTCACTTGTGTACCGTATCTTCCGCTCCTTTGATCTTGCAGCAGATTGCCTGTTTGCTAGAATTCTATAGCACAAAAAAGAAAAAGAACATTAGTAAAAGCAGAGAACCAAAGAATATGTCATACCAACCTTTGAAAAAAAAAACGAAATCTAAGAAATGAAACATCTTTTTATTTGCCAAGGAAAGCACAACACCGCCGCAAAGAATGTATAAGCAATTTGAACAAATACTTCAATGAAAGAGATCAAAGCAGCCACAGTTCACGTATTCAACCCAGAATAACACCGAATGGATCTCTCATATAAGAAACTCCAACTGAGAAAATCAAAATCCAAAGCATAAGTCAAAGCATCCAATCTACAAATGGGATTTCCGCCTTCCCAGAATATAAAACCGATATCCAACTAAATGCACTGAAAGTATGGCGGTCAAAATCGAATAGAGCTCAAGAAAAAGTCGATCCCAACAAGTATCAGAACTCCTAATCATCACATAAGCATGCAGAGCTCAAATAAAGGATTTGAGAAAAATCAGGCCTTTTGGCTCTCTTCGGATCGATCAGAGCAAGCTCCGCAAGCTTATCCGCCGCTATCGCCTTCTTTGCGTAATCCGACTGCGACGGCGGAGACTCTACTTCGAACGAAGAAGACGCCCCATCCATGGAACTGCTGTGCCGATGTTGTGGTTTCTTCTCCACGGCCGTAGTAACGCCAGCCCCTTGAAACCCCAAGCCCTCGAAGAACGCCGCGTCCACCGATAAGCTCCTCAAGTGAGCTCCACCTCCGGCAGTCCTTGCCACTGGTTGCGCCGTCGAATGCTCAACTCTTCCCCCTGAGTCTGCAGAGATGGCAGGAGCGGCGGTGGAACTGCTGCCGGAGATGTTGTCATCAGAGAGAGACGGGAACTCGATGTCAGCGAGGCTAAAGTCGGGGTCGGAGTCGAACAGGAATTCTTCGGGGAGGCGATAGAAGGTCTCGGATTGGGCCCTCCGGTGGCCGGAGCTCCTAGGGTTTGGCTGGATCTGGCCACCGCCAAACCGCGGGTTCGTTGGTAGCATGTCGGGCGGCCGGTTCGGATCCATGGGCGACGAGCTTGCTCAAGAGTCGTAGCAACTGGACTCTTTTAAGACGGCCAATAGATTATTTACAGCACCCAAAAATAAAACCTTATTACTACGATTATAAACGGTCAAAATTTGGCGTTCCTGCATGTGCGTTGGTATTTTACAAATTTTAATTAAATATATAGGCAATAACTTTGAAATCGTGACATGCTCCGCAGTTTTCTTCGCGGACCAGCACATACTAACTTTTTTTAGGACTTTTGTAGAATTAAACTTAAATTTACACAGATAACATATATAAACTTTAAATTTCAATTTTTTTAATTAGTATCTAAATTCTCAACTAACATGTAAAATAAATTGGATCGCATACCAACAAAGTATTGAAGGGAGGCCAAATTACATCATTTGATTTGTAAATTTGTAGAATATTTATAATAACCTACGAATATTTTGAAGTTAGATTGCATTAGATAAGAAATAGGGGTGTCAATTTTTTACACGAACTGATAACTCAATTTGAAGCTGATCCGAAAAATTAGGTTTTGGGTCGACCTGTTTAATAAACAGGTCAAGCTCATGCTCTAATTTTCAAGCCGTTTAAAAAATCGGGTCGTGTCCGGGTTAACCTGCTAATCTAAAAACCTGCATGTGCAATCATGCCCGCACCATGTCACTTTTGTAGCTCGCCTGCAGCCTACCTGGCCCCTGGGCTCCCACACTCTCACTGGCAGCATCGAACCAACCCCCGCTTGCCCTCTCGCAGCCTTGCCCTCGCCCTTTCCCGCTCTGGCTTGCCCCGTGGCCCACGCTTGCCTGCTCTGGGCTTTCCATGGTTAGCGTATTTGGTTGGGTAGACTCAGGTTTTGGAAGGGTTGGGTCCGGGTTCAGATTTCTGATCCGTTTGTGTATTCGAGTCGTGTTCATTTTAGATCAATTGATGGCATATCAGTATTAAGTTGGACCCGAACCAGAGCCGAAAACTCACTTTGACTAGTGAGGGTTAGGGCCACTCCTTAAAATTTTATATATTATATATTGATATTAAATAACAATTTTTGCATATATGTTTACCATGAATTTATCCCAACAAAAAAAGCACTTCTTTTCATGTTAATATCCCCAATACTATTTTAGATTATAAGGTATCTTATATCTTAGTGCCTATGGTATAGCTTAAGTAAAATTGGAGAATGATTTGTTGAAATTTAACTTGTCATAAAAAATTATCTGGTATTATTTAATTTAACTTGGCATAAAAAATTATCTGGTATTATTTTTTTTCATTAGTTTTTTTTTTTTTTTTGTAGCAACTCAATATAATGTTATTTACAATCATGTCAGAAAATAAAAATAAGTTGTGAAAGTCACCAAGTAGTCATGACATGTTGTTAACACTTGGTTGCAAATATTATATGAGTGCAGTGTAAAGGGTGGAAGCAACGCCCACAAATATATAGGATGCAAAGTCTCCCCACTCGAACAGTGGCGGATCCAGAAATTTTATTCAGGGGTTGGGGGCCTAAATTAAAACAGTTATGTTTATCGTCTCATCTAGAATATTAGAATACATTAAACTAGTTATATTTGCCGTCCGGAGCCAAGAGGTGCTATAAGATCAAAATTAAAAATGCAAATAACAATGCCTTTAGAGTTTATAAGACATAAATATCTGCCTTAATGACTGATAATCAACTCAAAAGAAAAAAATCTTAGCAAATGCTTCTATCATAAACGGTCTTTATAACTTGTGATATCCATATTTTTTTACAGAAGTATGATAAATAGTAATCTTTACTCGTATTCTTTCCAAAAGAATGTTACTAAAAAAAAATTTTAGCCATGCTTTTTAAAAACTGTGACAAATGCGTTTGTCCAGTTTTTGTTTACACAAAGGTTAGAGCTTTTGGCATACTAAAACTACTCACGCTTATAGTCGTTGATTTAGGCTTCATTTGGGGCGGCTTTCTTGTTGCTTCTAAAAACAGCTTTTTAGTACAAAAATTTGAATTTTTGTACTATAAAGCTGTTTTAAAAAGCAATAAAAAAGTCATTCCAAATGAAGCCTCTGTCACAATTTTTATAAAAAACCTTCTAAATCGCATTTATTGAGAAAGATTTAATTAACATTTAGTAGTATATATTTGAATACAATATACGAATTCTTCACGAGGTTATTTTCAACCATGCATATTCTTGCCATTTAGGCATTTATAGAGTTCCTGCAGGGAATGTAATATACGTGATCATTTCCAAATGATCTAATGTGATCATTAAGTGATCTTTTGTGCTGGAAATCTGATCCGCAGGAGCAAACCAGAGCTTCCCACAGTTCTTCTCTTGGGTCCTCCAGTCTCCTCTAGAAAAATTATTATGTGAGGAGTGCAGACGGGGTGAGAACCGTCCGCAAAGACACAGGATACCGAGCGGTACCCAGTGGTACCGAACCGTACCGAGCGCGGTTTTATACTAGTGTGCGGACGGTTCTCCCGTCCGCACTCCGCACCTAATAATTTCTCGTCTCCTCTAACAGCAAATGATTCTCTGCATTTCCTGGACATGAAAGGCTTCACATCATACTTTCTCTTATAGTGAGTTTGCAGAGTTCTAAAAATATATATAACTGATTTTCTTTTTAAGGGGGCATTATATCCATGGTTGAAAATACGCAAAGCCTCTAAGGTTGTCATCACATGATTAAAGATCCATTAATTACTTGTTAATGAGCCAAATTGTATTTTTTTATATTCCTAAATTTTTAACTGAGAGCATTGCTGCGTCGTGCTAGCAAGGACAATAGTGCTTAGCTCTCTATTTAGAGGGTTCTGGAATGGGCAGCGCGACGGCACTATAGAGTGGCACAACGTGCTGGGATCTTCGTCTGAGAGCGTTGTGCCACTATTGCTCCAATTATGAAAGTTGCTCTGATCATGATAGGTAATATTTACTCTATGCCTATTTTCAATGGTTTCGATTTTTATAAATTTCTCTATCTTAGTTCGATACAAATACATTATCTCATGATTTAAATAATTTTCACTATATAACTTTTGATATGTGAACGATTTCATCATTCTAAATACTTTGAAATGATCATATTAACATTTCACCGGAAGTTTTTCATGTGTAGTATTTTAACTAAAATAATAAAAATAAATGCACAAAGAAAATATATTACATATTGTATACTTGATATGATATGCATATTAACATCAACACACTAATATAAAATGCATCCTGATAGCATAGCATTAAATGATCTATATGTTAATTGCATTGGATGCATGATGCATGTTATTGTAATTGGTGAACATATAATATGGCATGCATGTGTAATTGTAAGAAAGGCTAGCTTGTTATTGATTGATTTTATGTTATTTGGAGTAAGATACCATGTATAAGAGGGGAGGGTTAGCTAAGATGTTTTCCTTTAAATAAATGGTTTGTGGTGTAATCTCAATATAAGATATAAGATACAAGATATAAAAAGGGAGTCATGAGTGAACAATATATGTTAATGGACAAGAGTAACGATTCTTATAAGAAGCCACTTGTTTATGATTGTACGTGATTATGACATGACTTATTCATGTAGCTTGACCTGCAAGATAATATATAACAAGATAAATGAAAATATCATAATAGAATAATTTGAATTCCCCTAGACATTTCGAAATAGAGATCTTAACGATGTAAAGTTCTCCCTCCAGTGCCACATAACTCCCCGCCACTGCCATAACAATCCCCCAACTACCATTCTAAGATAGATAGGATAGCGCTGCAAAACTGCCATGCCTGACAATGCTATGCTCCCACCACTCTACATTGTAGACAATGAGGAAAGCGCCATTACGCTTCATGGCTCAGCGTAACAACACTCCTAGAAGAATTTTTCACTTTAGATTTTTTTTTCATTTGTACTATAGGCTTCCTAATCTCAAATTTAGAACATATAAAGATACGAAAAAGAATCTTACTAGGTTATGTATTTATAGGTTTTACACATGCATTGTTGTATGGTGTTAGTTATAGTGTAATTACATCATAGTCTAAGTTAGCATATATAATAATTAAACTATTAGTCTATAGTGCTTGTAAATTATACCAATATACAATACACTTAAATTACTTTTTATCGATTGAATTATCAAATGCATAGCTCACTTACTGTAAATTGACCAACATTAATCAAGTTATAACATTTATTTTAGCTACAAATCATCTAATTATGCCTCCCAATGGCTTGTTTGGGCTAGGCCACATGTGACATCTATAAATTCAGTATATAATCCTACCTACTTTGATCCAACCTGAGTCAAGGTAAACAACTAAACTTCTGTTTTTTTGAACCACAAGGCGAATTTAGCATTGGGGGGCGGGGGGGCACGGGCCCCAGGGCGGTGGTGTCTGCGGTGGTTGGTGGTGCTCAGCCTGTGGTGGTGGGCGATAGTGCTCGACCAAAGGTGGCCAATGACTGGCGGTCGGCAGTGGTAGACAACGACGATGGTCGGGCGGTGGTGGCAAACGGTGGAGGTCGGTGGCGGCGGGCAGTCAGATAGTGACAATTGCGATGAATTTCCGACGTATTTGGAACTCTCCCAAATCAGAAGAAATATAAATACACCAAAAAATGATTTAGATGATAATTTTAAAATGCACCAATATTTTACACTGCATTTAGTTTACTTCAAGCCAAACATTAATATTCTCAAAACTCATGCATTTCAAATACTTTACATCTTTTTGCCAGCAACCAAACAACCCCTAAATCTATATTGCTAAGTGGAAAAATTCTAAAATTGAATTATCGAACAAACATCAACCACGCAACACCTTCGTAAATGACACATTTGCCCTTCAAAATTTGCTAATGAATGAAAGTAGAGCTAATATTCTTGTAATTTCATTCTTTGGCCAATAAATTAACCTCTTTTAGTTGACTAAGGAGAGCAATGTCTCCTTATAGCAGTTACTTGTCATGTGGGCTACAACTTTTCTCTCCCTCACATCATTTTTTTTCCTAATAAATAATAAGTCTCCTTGAATTTGAGTAAAGAGGAAGCCATCGGTCTA